TTAAATAAATTTGGCAACTTGTGGTTAACCTCAAGGCTTACAATTTTTTGTATATATATCTAGACAAGCTAATGGGGTTGCAAACTGGATTGCAAAATACAAGTTAAATGATCAACGTTCGTTATATTGGGTCCATTGCCAGCCACCGAATCTTCAACTTTCCATGAGAACCTACACCACTAGAGTTCTTTACCCCCTCGTCGAGTTTCCTCAGTCTGTATATCGCATTTGCAAGCTGTCATAAATCCTCCTCTCATTCACATCTTGCTTTACCATCAGCAAGCCTTTCAGCCTTGATCAATTACTCTGTTTAGTTGGGAATTCTTCCTTTCACATTGAGCAACAACGCAAACATGCAAAATTTAATAAGGTTTCCATGTTCAGCTCTATATATACTTCTCGGAAGGTAATGGAAAGTTAGACCCCCTGGGGATAATGATCCCGTCTCACATGGCAGTAGAAAGCCTCGGTCAATAAAATCTACTCCACCAAAAATTGATAGTAATAGTGCCTCAAATCAAGGGAGGGAACTCCGGCTACACGGCAAACTAAGTTGATATGAAGAAGATGCAAAGGATGTTGAAGAATGCAGCGGAGAACATACGTAGTAGTATTAGAGCTTTTGATATGTGTTAGAGAAATGCATAATGAATTTGGCATTTGCTTTTTATTTTCACTTTATTTTTTATAGTTAATTTTTAAGAGCAAATAATATTTTATATTTAGATATTAGTGTTTCTCCACTAAATTTATAAAAAAAAAAAAAATTAAGTAAAATATTATTTAAAATTATGTTTTTTTAATAAGTATCACAAAAAAGACAAATAATTTTATTTTTATTTTAAAAATTAAGATATTATAATTTTTTTAATGAATATTTATTAAAAAATATAATTTTAAAATATAATTTATTTATTTTTTACTGGTACATTGATGTATACTTTTATCTTATATTTATAAAAAAAAAAATGTAATTTATTTCATTATAACATTTCATATAAGTGTATGGGTATTATCTAGTGAAAAAGATGGCTGAATCAGCTTGTACAATTAATATTCTGTTTGTTTCCTAAAAGTCAAAAAAGTGCCGGATTAAAAAACTTCCTGTTGCAGAGGGGCTGAAAGTTTTATAATCGGTAAGGTAGAGGATTTCCCAAAAATTTTAGCCGCAATTTGGAGTTGTAAACCGAAAACTAACGTGGTACAAGCCAAGTTATGACTAATGATTGTTGTTTCTCCCTGGTGGCGATGGCGATGCTTGCATGATGAATTTAGCATGGAGATAAAGAAAAAATATAGAGTTGGGGAGATGTGATGGCCCGGCCTGATCACTTGGGGCCTGCAGTGTGATTGCATTTACAAATATAACTTTTTGTCAGCGTTAGGCTTCATTCGGTAATACCATTTTTAGTATTTTAATTTTTATATTTTTATTATTTTAAAAAAATATAAAATATTAATTAAAATAAATATTACTAACAGATACAATTTATGTGTCATTACTCTGAAATTAAACCTTAAACTGTGTTGTTGTGCAGATATTTTTAATTTTTTATTACTTTAAAGATATATAAAAATTAATTAAAAATAATGAATTTCTATTTAATGTAAAAAATATTAATACAAAGCAGTGTTAAGCGGAGGGTATAATTAATTCAAGGTTGGATCACCATGTCTAAACAGCAAAAACTCGGATGAGGCATTTCTACAACGTTTTTAAAGAATAATGCTTTGAATAATATGTCGTGCTGTTTCGAGTCATTCATGAATCGACAAATATTGATGTCAATTCATGGTATGAAGACTGTTGTACTTATAAGCACATATGGGATTGGTTAAAAACTTTCCTAAATGTTGGTTTTTGAAAAATATTTTGTTCTTTTGATCTTATTTTAAAAGATTCAAAGGGATAGTTGAAGTTTCAAACCTATTAATTGAAATAAATCTTTTGTTATTAAGTTGTCTAATGTGATAATTTTTATCACTTATTTTAAGTTTATATAATTATTTTTTTATCAAATTTTATATAAATTTATGGCTTAATATTCTAACAAAACTTTTAAATCAGATTTTCAGATCTAATAATTTGTCTTTAATTCTTAGTATTTGGATTTAGTTAATTCAAAAAAAAAAAAAAACTCTAACAAAACTTCTAATAAAGATAAAATTACATCAATCATTCTCTAAATCTACAGTAAACTTTTAGCTGGTGTGCTGGAATTCTTAGTACAGAGGTACATTTAAAAATGCAAAATGAAGATGTAAACAGAAAGGACATGTCGAAGGCTGTGGTAGCCATGGAGGTTGCAAAACGTCTCCAAAGGGTTCTGCTGCGCAGATGCCAAAGTGACCATTCACCAAGAAAAGGGAGGCCAAAGTCACTGAGGATATTTGGTTTCAGCAAGGCTTTGGTTGACGGATATTTGTGCATGTTCTTATGTACTCAATTTCAACTCTTTTGCCAAAGTAGTAGTGATTGTTTATAGGAAAGTTTTGATAATTTTTCCCTAAAAAGGTTTGTCAAATTAAGGTGGTTGGGAATGTCTGTCCAACTTAGTAAAAAAAAAAAAAAAAAAAAAAAAAAAATGTTGTTTAGTCATTATGGCTAAATTTAACCAAATATGAGAGAAAGTTACTAGTCTGGCAAAGCTTCTCGTCGTGGCTTTTTCACAGAAAAGTGTTCCCCCTAGAAAAGTTTGGTCAAGGAAAGTGGAAGCGAAATGTCACTCTGAGAGATTCAAGGGGTATTGAGCTTTGAGAGATTCAATAAAATAGAGGACCTTAAGAAGAAGACAGACTTTCTTTTCAGATATTTTATTGAGTCAGATGCACCTCAAATAAGATTCTTTTAGGCCAAACAGTCCATTACCAAAAAACAAGTATCATTGCATTTCCCACTGCCTAGCTTTTGGGTTTCCTCTTGATCACATACAACAAGAAATCAAAGCATTTTAAAGAACAGTACCCTGATGTTCTCAACAGCACAGGATGAAATACAATTGGTTATATGCATACGGACAAATTCTTCTGGAAGTTCAGCTGTTGTGTTTGTTCACAACTTCCATTGATTGTAGACTCATTTCCGTGCTAACCAGAACTGCATGAATTTTCAAGTAAAATGTCAACAGGCCATCTCTAGATGTTTTCTATAGATTTTGCGTTAATTCGAGTATCTAATGCAACTCCATCTCTTTTTTGGGGTTACGAAGAGAGGGATGATAAAGTTTAAGCTTTCTACCTTCTGGTACCATAATAATGATAATTCTATTAAGTTGTTGACGATGTTTGGCTTAATTGGCTTTGATTATATTCATTCTGACATTTTTTTTTTTCAAAGTGATACATGTCTGTCTTAGTGGCTGTTAATTATTTATAAACGCTGTTATATTATACGATAAGTACAAATCCAGGGCTTATTTTTTGCCTTTTTCCTGTTCTTTTTGGTCTTATGCACACCAGTACTGCTCTTTTCTGTCATTTTTAGGTGGGAACATATTCTTGAGTTTCATCCATGCATATTATTGTGCGATGGTATTTTTTGGGTCCTGGTGATGAAATTTTAATTGTTAAATCATCGAGTTCCGTGTTGTTGGTTGGCCTAGCTAGTTAAAAACAGGTCATGGTTCCTGTCCTTCGATTAAGAACAAGTTTCCTTCACTATTATGGACCTTTGCTTTGTGGTTTTGTGGAATATGTGCTTCCTCTTTTGGGTCTTGGCTAAATTCTCATTTTCTTTTATTTGTTTTCAGAAAGATGGAGGGTTTGAATTTGATGGCAGTGACATTCATCTTTCTTTTCTTGATTGAAGAGAAAGAAATCCATGAGCATGCCACATCTTCCTTAGTTTGGCATATATATGTTGTCAACTTGTCGTTTGACTTTGAGTTACTTTTCATTTTCCTTACTTTATCTTCATGTTTAATCAGTGATGGAATGGAATTATGGAGCTCAATTTAGGTTCACCGTTGTTAAAGTTGTCCGAAGTTGATTAAGAGCAGAAGTGAATCTAAGAGAAGAACAGAATTAGAAAGGGCAAGACTACTATTTTGTTGAATTGTTGAAATATTTGGATTAATTCCTTTAAAAAAAAAAAGAAAATAGAAATTACCAACCCATGGATCTAGTCATCATCCATTCTACCACCACAAGTAGTTGTTTCCTTACCTTGGTCTGATCCTGCACTATATATCTATCACTAGTTGGTGTTCTCTGATCTCTCTTAACAGTGCGACCGGAGTTCTGTGAAGATGGTGATGGTGGTTGAAACATATGGGGCCAAAAGGCCAATCACCACAAGCTGGATATGCACCATAGGTCCCATCCCACAAATGGGTCACGTCCTGGACCTAATCATCATCTCAAGTCCACCAAGAGCTGGGAACATGGCACCACGTCAGGGAGGTCACCCTGGAAACATCATGCCAGATGTAAAATCGCTAGAAAACATCGGACCATGAGTAGTAAAAGCACATGGAGCCCCAAAAAGATATGGCATCCCATTAACATCAGGTGTTACTGGTCCTTAAGAAACCCCCCTAATCATAGGTGGAAAACCTTGCATCCCAGGGATTGGTCTGGCACCACATGCTAACAACATCTGAGGAGGCTACATGACTCCTCTGTCCTTCACTTCTGCATTGTCCTCAAGTGGTGCAATGTCTGTCTCCACATGCTAACGATATTGTATTTTAACTTTAGAATTCATGTCCAACAAGTGTCCAAGAATTTCATTTTAGTGCACCAACAATAACACATGCGATAAGACACCCCTCTTCCACAAATTAATGTTGATTTTGCATGCCGTTAGCTTCAAGAGAGACAGCAACGAAATAAGTACCAAGAAGATACTCATTCTAGCTTTTTGTTCCAACAACAAAGGGTCAATCAGGAGCAATTTCTTTGTTACAACAGTCTGTCAATTTGAAGCAACTCACAAATTTAACCAAAACTTAATTTTACAGAACAAAATCAGTGTCACACTGTCACCCCACAAATTATAATCCATCAATTAACTCATAATACTTGAACATTCCAATTCAAATTCCAGGAAAATAATGAAAAAGATTGCTTCCACCAGACTTCCGGCTCTATCATGACAAGAGAATCAGACACGTGAAAGGAAAAGGTTCACTGTGTTCCATTATAGGCAGCAGCAACTGTACACAAGGGAAGCCTTGAGTATTACATCTAATATGGCTGATCAAGAAGGAACAATGCTTTGAGCAAAAACCAAGACAAACTTTTGCGATTGAAATAAGCAAGTTTTTCCTAAGCGGCCAATAAATCAAGCATCTAACATGGAAATTAAGAGATAAACTGAGTATCTACAACAACATACTGATAAGAATTAAACAACAAAAATAAATGTTGAAAGCAAAAAAATTAAAATCGTCAAGGACTGTATCAGGAGTCAGCCTGTCTTCTTGATTCTTCATCAGCATTTCTCAGGAATTGGTCCCAGCCACTTCCGGGGCTGGTATCCACATAATCATATGGAACTGCTGTCTTCAAACCTGGCCTAACACCACACCGACTCTCCACAATTCTGAAGTCCAAATGATCTTCGTCCTGGAGATTATGCTCTAGTTCCTCCCATGAAAAGAGCAGGGGCAGGGTAAATGCTCTCCAGGGGTTGAAATCCAAAATCTTAACACGTCCATCCCGTGTAACATAAACATCCAATGTGTAATTTTCTGACTCAAATTTCAACCTCACATTATCGGCAAAGAACTGTTGAATTAATGTCTTGAGATCATTTTTCTTCTCAAGTAGAACAGGATAAAATGTAGTTACTTCTCGTTGGGAAATCGCAATCAGGAGCTGGTCCTTTACAAAACAACGAAATTCCATCTCTGGTAGTAGAGATGGATACCACTTTCGTAGGGCAAGGAAGAAACTTGGAGGTCTTGACAGGGTTTTATCACTGCAAGAATCATACGCATGACACAAATCATTAACCAACGAGTCTGATGATCGAAGCAAGAGTGCAATCTCACTGAATGAAGTGCAACGCAGAGTCCCAGATGGGGCAATCCAAGCAGAGTCTTTTGGTGCACTCCAATTTAACTTGGGGAATACTGCACCCCCAAGCCTTTCAATTGATTCTTTAATCTCCATCTCAAGTTCTGGGAAGGAAGGAGGTTCCGAAGGTTCTGCTTCATCCCCAGATCCTTCTGACACCTGATAATCCTCTTCCTCCTCAAGATTATGGATTCTGTTAGGGAAGGCATCTTCATTAAAGACAGACTCCGGAAGGATGATTCCAGAATCATCAAACAGGTACTGAACAAAAGATTCAGGAAGCTCATGAATTAGAGTTCTGATTGACACTGATTTGAACTTCGGATACCATTCTTGAATTTGGCATCGGTTTATCTCTTCTTCCTTCATAGCTGCAAAACTGGTACCAGAATCCCAGTATAAATTAAACAAACTCACTCAAAATTATAACTTCAAATTCCCTACCCACCACAATTATCAAGATTACCATTCAATCTACACTCGAATTCATTATAAATTAGGCACAAATCTAAACAAGATTAGAAATCGAAAGGACATGACATTTTGCAGAAAAATTACCTGAAAATTGAAGTGGGAGTGAAGCCCTTCCGATTCTCGATTTCTTTGAACCAAGGATGAAGCTTGGGATTTTCGGCTGTGTTTGTAGAGGACGGATGGAGAATGGCGGCTGGCCGGTTCTAGGGGTTTCTCGATTGGCTCTGGTTGTGGAATTTGTTTGGGCTCAGGATTCTGAATTCATTATTTGGGCCAACTTGGTTAGTAAAATTTATGAAGTTCAGTTTTGGAACGGGTTCTCCAAAGTCCAAATTTAAATGTAAGCCCTAATTTGATTACAGAATTTTTTTAACCTTTTGGATTTTTTTTTTAATAGTTACCATTTGGATTGGATGATGGGAAATTGTGTTATGATTTGAATCGTGACTATTATTAAGACATTGGATGCATCTATCAAGTGTCTCATAAGGTTTGATGCTAAATCTTTTGGATTTATTTAATAACTCAAAAAAAATGCCATTATTATTATGATGCAATAAAGTATTGTGTAAATAAAATACTAACATTCATACCATTTACACATCATTTTCACTTGTAAAACATTGATATGAATCAAATAAATTTATTTTTATAATTTTTTATATAAATTAATAATCAAAATACAAATTAAAAAATTATAAATAGAGACTTGTCTATTTAGGATTTTAATTATTTATAGTGAAATATTTTATTGAAAATTTAAGAGAAAGGAATTCATATAACTATTTAAAAGAATATTATGCAGTTGGAATGTAGTCCACAACTTAAATAATTAGGTAGGGATTATCTTCTAATTTTATTTTATATTTTATAATTTAATATAATTTAAATTACAAAATAAAAATTTATATTTAACAATAATGGTACAAAAAATATGAGAATAAAATATAAATCAATAAAGGACATACTGAGGTAAGTAAACCATCAAGAAATCCAGCAAGCTCAGCCATAGAAATAATTAATTTCCCCAAATTGTAGATAATAATGCAGCAAAAATGCACATCTGGAAATTGAGAACACGATTCTTCTTTATGATGGACAAGACACAAAGGTGAGAATCTTTTCAATTTACAACATGACAATGAGACAGACAGGGTTCCCGGCAGTATCTTATCCTTGTACTCATGAAGAAATAAAGTTAAAAATAAACCAACAAGGTGAAAAAACTGTTTTCACTTTTCATTGCTCTCTCTCATTATCAAAAAAGCATATATGCACAAAGCTTCCCTTGTTTCTGGAATCTTCCCCATATCATATTCCCACTAGTCTCATACTAGAGCATGTCCACCAATTCTTTATCCTTAACCCTCCAAAAGATGTAATCTTTCCCAACAAATTTCTCAGCTTTTCGGTAAACATTAATATGCATTAGGCTCTTGGGTGAAACGGACAATCTTACATTTTCCATAGTTAAAAGATAGGAAATTACTAATAAAAAATTTAGTTAAATTAATATTT